CTATAGATAGATTGTGACTATATAGGATAAATTTTAATAATAAAGTGTTTTGAACATTCAACTGGTGTGACTATATAGTAGAATGTGACTATAACGGGAGTGACTATAGAGAGAGTTGACTGTATGAGGTAAAAAATCAGGATCTGGTAATGTATCTATAAGATTTCAAGATTTCACCAGTTAATAGGCTCTTCATATTCAGTAGCAAATTTAAAATCAAAAGGTACTTCTTTATCCTTATATTGTTTTAATTGTGAACATAAGGCATTTTGTTCTTGAAGATCAAAACCTAAATTTCGGCTAATTATTATAGCAGTTTTAACGATTTTTGCATATATACCTTTCTTTAATGGAGCAGCTAATTAAATAAATAAATTTTCAAAAAAAATGTACAATGCATTTAACTTAAATAATAAAATCAATAAATTAAATTAAAATAGGATCTGGATATTTTTTATAGAATTTACAACTGACTTTTTACCAAAAAAAATCCAATTTGTTCTTTTTTTATTTTCCATTTTTTGCGATTATCTTGGCATTCAGTAATCTGATTCATGCAGATTTTTTTATTTTGTAGAGCTTGATGATGAGAGTTACAAAACAAAAAAAAGTTTACACAAATTGGACTACTGGCTGGATGCTGAAATAATCGCAAAAAACTGATTTTTTTTTGTAAAATTTAGGCCAATTTGCGAAAAAGTTATTCTCTGAGTTGTATATGTAATGTCAGGGGTCCTATTAAAATATAATTAAAATTTAAATACCTCAAAATTGTGGGTTTAAAAAAAATATAGTAAATATTTTTTCATTCTCAAACTCATTAAACCTTTCATTCATTACTTGATAATAATGATTTTGAAAAGATTTGTTAAATAAGCGTGATAATAATTTCATAATTGCAGCTAATCGTATTAAGTTAAAAAATAATCAGCCAGAGTTGCTTTTCATGCTTTTAAAGCTAAAATAGCTTTATGTAATAGATCTAAAACAAAAGCCAATATTTTTAAATCAAACCAGAAATTGTGACCTTTAATAATAGCTTTAATTTTAGTTTTAGATAAACTATTAGCATGGTCCGTTATAAATAACAATAATTAATAAATTATTAAAATTAATAATTAATAATTAATAATAGAAATAATGTATTTACCGCACCTGCATTACAAATTTATATATATTTGTATATTTATTATTTGCTATTTTAAGGGAAGGTGCGGTGTATAAACTAAAGATCGATATAAACAATTTACAAAAAAAGGAAGGATGTGTTGTAATGCAAGGTACGGTAAATAAATTCACTCTTAATAATATTACCTTTTCTAAAACTAATTTCAAATTCAAAACTGAATTTACCGATTCACTTGAAGTTATCTAATGCATTTTACAATAAGATTTAAGCCCACCACCTTTAATATTATTTTGTTAAATCAATTGATTAAGTTTTGCATCTTTTTACAAAATATAAATTAAATGATTTTGTTAATAAATTCTTTATATCATTATATATTAAAGTGAAAAGTGATTATAAACCACTTACCAGTTAAATGTAAATTATGAAAAGTTGAAACTAAGGTATTAATTTGAAAAAGAGGATGGATTGCAAATGCATGATTAACAATATTATTAATAACTAGGTTAATACAATGTGAGATGCAATGAATATTTTCAATATAAGGATATTTTTCATGTATCATAGCTCTGGCATTGTGAATATTTATCGCATTATCAGATACTATAGCAGATATACGCATAAGTAGTATTTAACTTCTTTACAAAATCAATAAAAAAGGAATGTTCAATGATTTTAAAAGACATTTCACAAGCTACAAAAAACTTCACTAAAACACGATTGATTTTATTAATTCGGCCTTTAGAAAGTTCTGTTGAATCATGAAATTTTTTTAAGGTCATTTGTCCATTCTCTAATTTTCTTTTTTTTTGGAAGTACTACTAGTTTCTTGTCCTACAATGTTTTTCATATATTCACAAAATACCAGTACTGGTGCATTCATGTAATGATTTGCAAGATACTCTTTAAAAACTGGTATCTCTTTTTGTTTTTATGTTACCAAACAGTACTTATATTCTGCTTCATACTTTCCAGGTTCAACAGAATTTTTTCTTTCAAAATGAAGCCATATGGATCTTAAAAGTCTTCCATCAACTTTCTTTTTTTTTATCTTTAGAATTTGGTGGTTGCTCATTAATTTCATTAATATCTTATTGAACAGCAGAATTTGTAAAAGTACTAAACGTATCCATTTTAGAAAGTTTTTTAAAATTTAATAAAAAGAAACATATTAAAACAGGACCCCAGATATCTCTTATAGAACTCACAACTGACTTTTTGCCAAAAAAAAGACCCAATTTGCTTTTTTTTTATTTTCCATTTTTTTTTGCAATTATCTCAGTATTCAGTAATCCGATTCATGCAAATGTTTTTTTATTTTGTAGAGCTCAATGAGAGCTACAAAACAAAAAAATGTTCGTACAAAATTGGACCACTGGATGCCAAAATAATCGCAAAAAACTGATTTTTTTTTGTAAAATTTAGGCCAATCTGCGAAAAAGTTGCCACTGGGTTGTATATGTAATGTCTGGGATCCTATTAAAACCCTTATATTGCGTAATTAAATATTACTAAAAAATTAATATTACTTCTATAAATTAAAATAAATAGTATATTCAAATGGTAATAATTCTAAAAGCATTAAAACTTTTACATTTTTGAATAGAAAAGTCTAAATATTTGAAAAAAAAAAGGAGATTATAAATGATAATCATAATTGATTTTTATTGGATAAAACTATTTGCCACAGTTTTGCCATTTTGACATAATATTTAATTTTGACATTATTGAAACATTTTACCAACAGTTACAACGTTATTAATTGAGGTTTTGACTTTACTAAATTTAAAAATGAGTTTTACTCGCAACCTTAGTAAAAATTATAAACAAACATACATGAGTAGATTTATTTAAAATAGTGTATTAATCAGGTCTAGTAAAGATTATTAATTATTATAAATGTGTACTTACATGGATTTATATAAAATAAATATTGATCAGCATAATGAAATTTTCTCTGATTGGCCACAATTTAAATGTTTTGTAAAAACTGTGATTTAAAATGTACTTTACATGTACTCATGTATTTTATTTATAAATAGGTTTTATTACTTGTTTTAAATCTCTTGTCATAGAACTAGTTATTAATCATAGTAATGAAAAAAAAAGTTTAGACCTTGCTTAATAGATAATTGTGCATATAAAAATGTTAGTTTTCGTTTAATTATAGAACTTGCATACCAGAAATGCTAAAAGAAAAATATATTAGAAACGTATTCCTATCTTGAAATAGGAAAACAACTTTACCATTTACATTATTGCAAAATAGTGGAATCTAATAGAAATAAAAATAAAAAAAGAAAGTTAAAAAACTAAGAATGCAGTAAGAAAAAAGTCACAAATGAAAAAGAAAGTATTAATATAATTATTACTACTAGTAGCTGAAAGACTTCTTTTTAAATGGTTAACTTATATCTCTTTAGTTTTGTATAGAGATCCTATTTTCACATTAAATATTAAAATATTAACAACTGTATTATTTAACAAATAACGTCAAGAATCTGCTAATTTAGAATTGGATCCAATACAATTTCAACTTATAATTGAAGATGCTAATTCTGAATTAAAAGAATTCTTTCCTTCAATGGTTAATACTATTATTTCTAAAGATCGATTAAAATATAATAAACAAAAGCTAAAAAATCAATTGTTACTTTATATTATATAATTGCTAGTTTGCGTAACAAATTGTATTTGGTAACATTAGGTACTACATGGGAAGCTATTAATACAATATCAAGTATTGGATATTCAGCTTGTGCTAAAACAGTTATAAACTATTAAAAGAAGATTCAATTGAATCATATAACTAAGATTGAAGATCACTTTTTAGAAAAGATAAACATTATTAAAAAAAAGTGGTTTATACTTTATATATTATAAAATTGATTTTTTTTTTATTTTTAATAAGGAGATTGTCTGTATATTTATAATATAGATGATTATTATAACATTTATGAAAAGCGTAAACTAGTTACCATAATAACATTAATAGCAAAGCATTTTTCCATTTGTGTTGCAAAACCTGTTATAGAATGCTTTACAGTACCAATTGTATTTAATGGAGTATCTATTCACAATCCAAATAATGTTGAAGCACCAAGAATTTGTTGGTATTTGCTCAACAAATACACTAAAAACTTTGATATCACATATACAAAACATCAGACATATTGGATTTCACAAGAATATCAAAACACTAATACTTTTAATCATATTGAACTTTTAACTATTCATTATTATGATAATGTTATTGCAGAGTGAAAGAATGAAAGATCAATAAAAGATCTTTAATTAATTAGTTTTAAAGAAAAGCATTTACATTTGATGTAGAACTACTTAAATACTTTACAAATAATTTTAACTATAAGTAGAAAAACAAATTATTTGAATAATTATATTATATTTATTGTTGCAGATTGGCCAAATCAGCTGTTTATCAGAAAACATTAACACATCTGCATACATTAGGATTACAATCTGCTATTTCAAAAGAAATTAAATCTTTTATACCGATACTAGGTCCACTTCACCTTTCATTTAATAGTAGAAAACATATTATGATAATTCATTATTTTTTTTTGAACAAATGTTTCACTTTATATTTGGTAAAAATAAAAAGCTGGTGAAAAAACTAAAGCTGTGAAGGATTAACCTTCTCTTAAAACTTGCGTGAAGTGGTTGGGTTAAAATTAAAAATGAGGTTATGCAAAAATTTGGTTCAACATGCAAAGATGTTGAATATCAAACTATAATTGACTTATTAGACAACCTTATTTTCAGTTACACTTAATGTCTATGCAGTTTTATTTCGTTCAGGTTCATTTGAAGAATATATGAAAACTGTATTTTGTATTTGAACATTTGCTTTACGTTGAAAAAGAAAAATTATAATAAAGTGCCCTTATATTTTTATCAGATTTATTTTATTGGCAAGATCACTCATTTGCTGATACAATTAAAAATTATTTACCATATTTTAATGACTATTACATTGAAAACACTCATAGCCGAATAAAAGCAAATACAAAACAGACTTATATTATTGGTATAATAAATATGATAATATTAATTTTTATTACATATTATTTTTATTTATTCTTAACAATTTAAATAGTAGATCATGATCTTATTTTTAAAGATATATTTTACAAAACTCGCAATTATTTATACAATCTATCTACACTTAAATTTCTGTTTGATAAGTCCTCAAAATTTCATAGTTCTAACATTCATGCAACTATATTAATTAAAAAAACTTATAAAGGGAAATATTGACGATTATCTATAAAATTAAATAAATAGTCTGTTATTGCCTGTTTATTTAGAATTTTGCATAATATTAATAACAGAAATTTTAATATGTAATAATACAGAATTTTGATTAATACAGTCAACTCTGGATATAACGAACCTTCCGTTCCAGGAGGTTTGGTTCGGTATATAGTGAATTCGTTATATAATATACCGAACTAGTTTTCTTTATAGGTAATTTAGGCCAAATTTGTAATGCTGGCCAAAATTATAATTTCTTTTAACATAAATTTTCGAAAAAATTACTAGTAATTCTGGCCAGCACTATCTGGACTACTATATAGTCACATGACTGTTCGTTATAGAAAGTATAAAGTTATTATATAGCTGATATATAGGGGCTGGTTAAGTTTGGTTCAGATGCGTTATATAGTGTTTTATTATAAAAGTTCGTTATATCCAGTGAAATTATTTATAAAAAATCGGTTCTGGAAATTATGATTCGGTATAACGAGATTTCGGTACAAACAGGTTCATTATAACCAGAGTCGACTGTATGTATACATTAAATTTCTTTATCTAGTTTTTGTTTTTATATGAATTATATAAAAAATTGAAAGAAAATTTAATTTTTAAAAACAGCAATACTGTATTTTTACATTCTCAAAATTTTACATAATAAAATACTTTAATTTATATATTATTTGAAAGTTACAATTCTGAAGAATAAATATTATATATAAATTTTTATAATTTATCTTTCAAATTAACAATTAACATCTAAAAAAATAAAAATCATTCACTTTTTTTTAATTTGACAATCATCAAGAATTTTTAATTTTTTTAATAAATACAGCTGTATGAAAATTAAAAGCATGAAAATTTGACTCTATGTTCTTTAAAGTCTATATTATTACATATTAAAATTTCAAGCATTATTATTTTATGTAATTTTAAGTAATTAACAAAAATAGAGGGTCCACTATTTTTGTCTAAGTAATGTAACAATTACTAAGCTTCTTTTTTTAATTAATATAGCTGTGTGAAAGTTAGAAGTGTGAAATTTTAAATATATATTCTTTGGAATTTACGTTATCATATATTAAAATTTCAAGTATTGTTATTATGTACAATTTCAAGTAATTGACAAAAATGGAAGGTCCTCTACTTTTGTCTAGGTAGTGTACTTATAATATACCTAAAATGTATCTAAAATACTCTTAAAATATATTTTTAATGTACTTGTTTTGCCTAAGTACTTAAATTATATTTAAAATATACTTAAACTAGAATTTAAGTACAATAAAAGTGTATTTTTTGCATGTTTAAAATATTCTTAAAATGTGCTTAAAATTCAATTTAAGTATATTTTAAATATATAAAAAATACACTTATATTGTACTTAAATTTTAATTTAAGCATATTTTAAGAATATTTTAAACATGTAAAAAATACACTTATATTGTACTTAAATTTTAGTTTAAGTATATTTTAAATATAATTTAAGTACTTGGACAAAAAACAAGTACATTAAAAGTATATTTTAAGAGTATTTTAGGCATATTTTAGGTATATTACAAGTATATCGTGAATTAAAATTGATATTTATTTTAATAAGTATATTTTAATAAAATTTTAAGTATATTTTAAGTATAAAGACTTTTCATAGGGACTAAAAATTTGCACAATTCTAATTTTTAAAATTTGACTTATAACTTATTTTAAAATTCTGTTTAAATATATATTTGCAGGTTAAGTTAGTAATTAGTATTATATTAATAATAATGTAATTGAAATTCTGTTAATAAATAATATTATATATATTATAATTATATAAAAAGAGTTTAAAATTGAATAGTTGGATTTTCATTTAAATTAAAATATTAAAAATGTTTATTAATAAATTATTTTATTAAATTATTGAATAAAAATTATTTAATTCTAATATTTTTAATTCTAATAATTCTAATTCTAATTTAATTAATTAATAAATAATATTATATATATTATAATTTATATATCTTTATATAAAAAGAGTTTAAAGTTGAATAGTTGGATTTTTTACTTTACAACTATTATTTTATAAAAATTATTCATTTAAATTAAAATATTAAAAATGTTTATTAATAAATTATTTTATTAAATTATTGAATAAATAAAAAAATTTTTCTATACAAAAAATTATTATTTACAAATAAGTTAAAAAAAAAAAAGTAATAAATGCATAATAAAGTATATGAAATAGTATAATTTATATATTACAAATTAGTTTATATAATAATCATTAATTTAATTTAATATATTTAAACTTTTTGTTAAGCCACATTTACTTATTATTCATATTTCATATTTCAAAAGTCTTTTACCTTTTTAAATTGAAGTAAAATGCTAAAAAATACTAACAAATAGAAAATTTTCAATGGCATTATTATAACAAATAGAGAGCGATTTAACATTGTGCGGATTAATAAATTGGTGCAACGTGGATTTTTGTTATTAAAAATTGGCTAATCAAATATTGTAATTCAACCCAGCAATATCCACATTATATTACTGGATGAATTTTGATTTTCTAGCTGCATTTTTTATATTTTTGGCCAGAATTTGAGGTATGTGACCAGAATAAACGGAAACAATCGGCCGAATACAAAGACTATAAATTATAGAACAATACAATTAATGTAGTTTTTGTAATTACGAGAAAAACCAAAAAAAACCGAACCTAACCTTTATTTTATACCTGTTCTTTTGCCTGTTGTGATTCGTCTCTGTGATTGAATAATAAAAAATGACAAGTTCACAAGAACCTGAGGCCCCTGTTAAAGTTACGCCTACATCAACTCCAGTATCAACTCCAGCTACTCAATTTAGGTTCAAGGTCAACAAAACTTATCATAACAAAATGCACGTTCCGCGAAGAAAGACAGTCTATAACTTTTACGAGTTTGTAAGTATTGTTTAAGTTAAATCAATTATTATGTTTGGGTAGTTTAGTTATGATTTGAAAGCCCTAAACCTAAACACCTATTTTGTATTTATATTTCTAATTTTCAAATAAATTCTCATTCAAATAGCAAAAGAAGTGCCTCGAACTGTCTGCCGATTACTATCAAGGTATCTCGAATCTTTTAAAAGAAACCGACGTCTCATTATTTTTAGCGCCGCCAATGCCGGGAACGGATCCCCTCCATATTATTAACGAAACTGGAATGGTAATTAGTGGTATGCTGAATCCGGGCTTGGGTGAATATGCTGTTAGTCCCCAAAATTATAGTAATAAAAAATTAAAAAGACATGGGAGGGATGATATTTCAGCGAGTGGAGAAGAGGCTTACAGTTCCGAAAATCAAAAAGCACCAAAACATAGACGAGCGCCAAGACAACTTTGGACAGACGATGAAGTAGAACGGTTGAAGGCGGCCCATGATAAATACAGTGGCGATTGGGAATTAATCATCAAAGAATTTGAACCTGAACGTACCAGGTCCGTGATAGAGTTCCAACATTTTACAATTGATAATTCGAATGTTGATTGAACATGAGAGACCTTTGAAAACTTCATTTCTTCTTTTAAAAAATTAATATAATAATCACGGTTATTTTATAGAATTCAAATCTTCCAGAAGGCACGCCAGATGGGACTTCGCGCCGTCGAATCAGGGAAATTAATCGATCTTTCAAAACCAAACTCGATCATCGAATATAATAATGCACCAGAAGGAGACGAAGGAATCGAATATGAACAAGAAAATGTCGCTGGCGATTGGGTACAAGAAGATGATGATGCTGCAAATGATGGTTCAAACGATGGTTGAGAAAGCCGAGCAATAGATCATTTATATATATTCTTTTTTTTAATTCTATTCTGTTTTATTATATAAATAGCCGCACATCTTTACTCTTTTTTTTTTTCTTGATTCTTTACTTCAACTAGTGTACATAGATCGCGGCTTTATATCCTTCCACTCAAAAACTCTTGATTTCTCGATGTATTGTGGTACCGATTTAATGAATCGCGACACTTAACATCAATATAATTTCTTTTTATTTACTTTACAATTCTTCGTGGGGCGTAGTATTCGAAAAAAAAACTAATGTTTTCGCAATTTTTTGCGCAATTAAAAAAAAAAAAAATAAACATTTTTAAAATAAAGCGTGGTAAAGTCACGTGAAAAAGAATTCAAATGTTCATTTTGTTCTTTTGAGATTTAAAACTAGTGAAGAACTCTTAAACTTACCTATCGGTGATTGCAGAGTCGATTTTGTTGATACTTTCTCAAAATTTGGCGAATACTCTGAGGAGTGGCACAAAATTGCTAATGTTTCACACACGGAGGATATCAAAGGATATCATATATTCCATTCGTTTCCTTTAATCCAAATAAAAAGGTCGCATTTACGCGCACAATAATATAACTAAATGTAGTTTGTTGATCCCTAAATTTTATTTTGAACAAATTTTCTGAGAACAAGTTTTTTAAATCATTCGTTTATGTGTTGCATAATCGCATGTACGCATGTTATGATATTCCACAAATTATTCCGCGTCCCTTGTCTGAAAATTCATTTACCCGAGTAACACAGTATTACTTTATTGTCTAAAGATTTATTAGCTACTTTTAAACATACAACCATCTTATTTTTTAATATTGACCTATACATTACACATCTGAATCGAAAAAAATGACAGACTATGATATGCAGACTTCTTCAAATTATTCCTCGGGATCACCGTCTTCTGGTGGCTTTGGTGGTAATGGCGGTCAAGAATACGTAGTTTTTGATAGAACTACTGAAGGTTTCTCGAAGGGTACTTTGGACAGATCTACCGCCGCAAAATTAAAATTAGAACACTTCTATAAGGTTACGTTGGATCAAGCGAGAGAGCGTAATGACCGGTAGGTGAATTTGTCTCAGTGTTAATAGTTTAAAGAATGTTATAATATCGTGGAAACGTTGCATTTTTACCAATTTGTTATTAAGTTTGATCTTAATTTTATTAATCTCTATTTATTTAGACGTAATGAACTTGAAAAAAAACTCGAAAAAGAAGATATCTCAGATGAACGAAAGAACAGACAACTTCAATCACTTGGAAGAAAAGAATCTTCTTTTTTGAGACTTCGAAGGACTAGATTAGGATTAGAAGATTTCGTTACCGTCAAAGTAATCGGTAAGGGTGCATTTGGCGAGGTATGTAATAAATGTTCGTATGAATGTATGTTTGAGATTTGTGGTAATTGTATTTTATATTTCATAAATTAGGTTCGATTAGTTCAAAAAGCTGATACAGGGAAAATATATGCAATGAAAACTTTAAGAAAGGCAGATATGTTTAAAAAAGATCAGGTGATTGATTGAATTATTTTTATTTTAAATTCATTAAAAATATTATTTAAATTATTAAAATCATTAAAAATATGCTATTAGTTGGCTCACGTTAAAGCTGAGCGTGATGTTCTTGCTGAATCTGATTCTCCATGGGTAGTTCAACTATTTTACTCCTTCCAAGATGTGTCATATCTTTATCTTATTATGGAATTTTTGCCCGGTGGTGATTTAATGACAATGTTGATCAAGTATGATACCTTCTCGGAGGATGTAACAAGATTTTATATTGCAGAGTGTGTTTTAGCCATTGAAGCAATTCACAAACTAAATTTCATTCATCGGTAAATATATATATATTTTTTATAAATTTAATTTCAATTCGTAATAATATTTATATTTATTCATTTAGAGACATCAAACCGGATAACATTTTGATCGACAAAGATGGTCATATTAAATTGTCCGATTTTGGTCTTTCTACTGGTTTTCATCGAACACACGATTCTGCATATTATCAAAGACTTTTAGATGGAAGCCTTAATACTTCATCAGGTCACAGACAATTAGGTAGTGAAGCTAATATTAATTTGACATTATCGAGCAAGGACAGAATTGCCACATGGAAAAAAAATCGAAGAGCTTTGGTATGATCTTAAATTTGACTTGAACTTTATAAGCGCTAAAAGCCTGATTCTTATCAAAAATTTTATTTATTATAGGCTTATTCCACGGTTGGTACACCGGATTATATTGCACCCGAAATTTTCTTACAGCAAGGTTATGGCCAAGAATGTGATTGGTGGTCACTAGGAGCCATCATGTTTGAATGTCTTGTAGGTTATCCACCATTTTGTAGTGAAAATGCTCATGAAACTTATAGAAAAATTATCAATTGGCGGGATCAATTATATTTTCCTGATGATGTTCATTTAGGTCCTGAAGCAGAAAATTTAGTTCGACGGTAATTTTCTTTTTCTTTCAATTTAACAATTTTTAGTTTAAAGCTAATTAATATATGAAATGTTTTCAGACTTATTTGTGCACCTGAACAACGTTTGGGACGTCATGGTGCCGAAGAAATTAAAGTACATCCATTTTTTGCTGGAGTAGATTGGGATACCATTCGCAGCATTGAAGCACCTTTTGTACCAAATTTGAAATCTATTACTGATACTAGCTATTTCCCTACAGACGATCTGGATAAGATTCCAGAACAACCCCAAACTATCGGTATGTCCATTATATAAAAAAATTTTTTGAATTCTTTATTAATTTTTATTATTTTTAAACAGAACGTAACAATTCAAACGCTACTGGAGAATATAATCAAAAAGACTTGGCTTTCGTCGGTTATACATACAAGAGATTTGACGTTCTTACAAGAAAAAATGCTTGGTAAATTATTATTTAAGTTGGTAGGGTAAAAAGGAATTAAAGAACGATCGAAAGGAAATTGTATTATCACTTTATTTATTTTACAAATTCTCGGTAAATATTAAATATATTTGTATTCCGAGATATAAACCTCATGAATTTCAGCAGAAGAAAAAAAAATATTAAAAAACATGATTAGCCAAAGTTTATTTTTTAGAAACAAGTGAAATAGTCTATAAAGTAATATTATTAATGTATGTATAGAAATTATTTTTAACATTGAATTATAATATTATCGATCAAAATTTGTTGAACTACTAAATTTTTTTAGACATTCATGATTGAAGTGACTTATTTATAATTTATAATATATTAAAAATATAGAGAATAATATATGTGATTAAGTATATATTTATTAATTAGCTTAACATCATAAAAGACATTCATCATTTACCATAAAAATAAAGTAACATCAATACTTGTTGTTATTAAACATTAAGACTTTGTAATTATTTAATGAGATTAAATTTAAAATTTTATTTAACAAATGATGTCAACAAAACATTCTACCACTGATCGGTTTTTATTAACTACTTTAACAACTCTGCCCTCATCATTCAAATACTACAACCGGGATACAAAAATATATATATATATATATATATATATAGAGTGAAAAATGGTGAACAAAAAAGAAAAAAAGAAAAGAAAGAAATTTTTCGACAATATTTGAATATGAATTATATACAAAGTTTTGCCATTTTCACTCATCTAAAGAAAAATACTAACAGTAATTGATGTAAAGATAAAAAAAAACTTTCCCATCTAAAAAGAAATCAAGAACAAAAACTACTAAAGTTACTATACATTGTAAAAGAAACATGAGTCTTCCTATGGTTTCTTGTAGAAAGAAGATAAGCAACATAATTTTTCAAATCCAAAAATGAATAAGACAAAAAAAAAAAAAAAAAAAAAATTTTTTTTTTTTTTTAGACTTATTTCTTAACGCTAATATTAAAATTGATCGAGACAGGTAATTCGACTTCTTCACCATCGATCTCTACCTTAATTTTTGCTTTTGGGGCAGCTGCTGACCAACCATAACTCTTTTGAGGTTTAGCGATTAAAGTATACAATGGTTCATTTTCAGTCGGTGGATTATCGGTAGCTGCATCACCGTTTTTGGTTGTTTCTTCTTCATCCGTTTTGTCTTTTTCATCTTCGACATCCTTTTTAGAAGAAGATTCTTCATGTTCCTCTTCTTTTTCGGTAGAAGAATAAGAAATTACCACTTTAAGATCTTTAGCCTTCATGAAATTTTTGAGAGCAGGAAGACTAGTATCGGCTTTCTATATTTTTTTGATCGCGATAAATATTTGAAGGCAATTCCATAAATATATATTTCAAATATCTGTTGGTAATGCTTTTTTAAAAAAAAAGTTTCTTCAAAGAAAAAAATAAAACGCGTCTTTGTTGTGTAATCCCCTCTTCCAAAACCTTTCTTGAATAATAACTTGTCAAAATAAATTTATAATAATATACTAACCTCAGTCTTAGCTTTTTTAGTTCCAGTTGTTTTAGTCTTAGAAGTTGATGCACTTGTTGCTGCTGCTGCTTTAGCTTCTTCAGCTTTAGTTTTCGCGGCACGTCTAGGATTGGTCTTACGTTCAACTGTTGTTTCTTCGGAAGCTTGTTTTCTCTTACGTGAGGTGGTCTTTTTGGTATCGTCAGCAACTTCAGTAGTCATTTTTCTCTAGTTTATAAACAGTAAGTAGTGGGGATACGTTATTTATTTGAGCTTTCAACTGAACTTTATCTCTTAAAAAGTTTGTTATTGGAAAAAAATTTTTTTTTTTTTTAAGGAAAAGGAATGCCGTTATTTATTTTTGCGGGGAAAACAGACTATGCGGTTGTGCCGATGGGAGTGATGAATAATACAGTATGCACGATATGATGTGATTATAAAATATGACATATAATTTTGTCAAAATATATATATTTTATTGTGTAATAAAAAAGGTTTGTTTCTCGATTCTTTTCAAGTTAAATTCTTTTCTTGATGCATAACAGGATTATTTTCAGGGTTCTTTATCATGAATGAAAAGAGATTTTTTAGTGAAAAAAACTGAACCTTATAATTAATTTCTATTTACAGCTATAAACTCTGATAAAATCAACTTAGCCTCTTCAAAATATTCTGGTCAGGTCGATGTATTTGGACATTGGGCAATCAGAAAGTTATTGCAAATCCGTCTCGATTAGGTTCTGCACTATTTTTTGGAAGATTGTTTTAAATGAAGGAACTTTTTTCTAGGTAAATTATTTTTCTCCTTTTCACATACTATTATAATTCAATTTTGCTTACAATATGACGGTAAAACCATTTTTTCGGTTATTTTTTTTATCAAATAATGACGCATTGTTTATGAACAGTCATTTAAATTGACTGTGCATATATCAAAATTCTGTCTATAATATATAATTTATTTAATCGTTTTTTATTAACAAATGTAAATTTAAAGCTTTAAAAACTTTAAATTAATTATAATATTATTAAGCTAAATAAAAATAATAATAGTTTTTCAATTTTTAACCTTATATTAATATAAAAAATTAAGATTATATTAAAGTGAGAATTAGGATAATTGGGATATGTTATATTATATAAATATTAATAAAAATCTTACACAATTTACATCTATATAATTAATAGTTAAGAAAATTAAAAAATATAGCATTTAATTAATATTGAAAAAAAGTAAAGCAAAAGAATAACAAATAATTAAAAGATATAATAGATATTAGAATTACTAAAGTAATAAAATGGAAATTGTTTTGAAATATTTATTATTTAAAAATTTAAAAAATATAAATTAAAATAAAATTTAATAAATAAAATAAAAATTATTAAGTTAAAAAAAGGTATAAAAATAGAATTTTAAAATTAATATAAAATAATTAATAAAATTTATATAGTTATACTTATAGTATTTCTATAAAAAAAAATTTATACAAAAATGATATATATTAATTAAAAAAAATTGCTTCACATAAAATTTTAAATGTATTTATTTTGATTAATTTTACTTAAAATATATTTAAAATATAAATTTTCTTTTTAAATATATATTTATATATTTAAATTATAATTAGTACATTTTAATATATTTTTAATATATTCTATTAGTACTTTGGTTATTAGTATAGTTACTTAGCTATTTAACAGTACCAAAATAGTTAAATTTAATTTATATATTTAAAAGTAGTATATAATGCCAATCATTTTTTATAAATGTACAGTAATAAATAATTTTATTGATCATTATATAGAGTTTTAGAAATTTGGTATTATATTAAAATAAATATCAAAATGAATTTTTTTTTTGCTAATATAACACATAATTAATATTTCTGATAATTAGTTACTAAAAATATTTCCAAAAAACTAAAGTTAAATGTTTTTAATATATTTACTAATGTAAAAATTTTATTGCAACATTATCTTTAAATATATAATATATATATAATTTAAAGTTAACTAAATTTAGTTAAATCAATTAAAATTTCTGAATAATAAATCATAATTTTAGTTAAAATTTATTAATTTTGACTAATTTGTAATACTAGCCTAAATTTTGTTAAAATGAAATTATTTACATAATATAATATCATTAACTTAATAATAAAAGTAAACTCAATAATCACTCTTACAATTCTATTGAAAAAATTTTACAAAAATTGTTAAAAAATTGCATTTTTCAGTTTATTTTGCCTATTTTTTAATAATTAAAAAAAAATTTGTTTAAATTTTTAGATTGTATTAATAAGGGTGCTGTCAGATATTATCTAATATTTTAAGGGAAAGGGGGTAATTATAGATCTTAGGTTACATATAATACTATATAAGAAATTATATATATAACATATCTTACCTAGGGGGGAGGGGGTAAGCTCTTATATTAAAGTGATATTAGGTAATATCTGACAGTGCCCTAATGATACTAATAATATTAGTATTTTTATTTAATAATATAAAAATTTAAGTATTTTAAGAAAAGTTAAAGAACAGAAAATTTGTAATAAAATAAATAAAATTATAGAATATTTAAAACAATAAAATTTTACACTATATGTAATTATTAATTTTATTAAAAAAAAATTTTAATAATATACTAAAGGAATAGAAAAATTAAAACAACTTTACAATTTATTTGGTATATAGTAAATTGATAAAAATGTTATTAAAGAAGTTGATAGTATTTTATTAAAATTAGAAGTATATAATTCATATTTTTAATTTAATAATAAATATTTACATCAATTAATAAGTAAAAAAATAAAGAATTTTAATAAAAAAATTATTGTCTGAAGCATAAGTATAGAATACTTTTATTCTACTCTAAACTATACATGTATTGTTTGTCCGCACATATGTATGACCAATAAAATCTTAGGATCAGGTATAATAGGATCCGTTTACTTATAATAAAGGTTATTGTAGAAAATTGGCCCTTTACTAATAGTTTTTACCTTATTTTTTTCTTAAATTCTATTGGTTAATTAGCTAAAAAGGAAACAAATCATAACAATGTAACATAAAATTTCCTTTTATAGTAGGATCTGCAAAGAATTTTATATATGATTTTTACTTTAGGCCTGAGGGTGACCTATCTTATAAGTAAGCAGGGTTCTGATATAACCTTAGATTTGTTTATATATATAATACTTTTTGTTTATATTTCTCTAATTTAAAATATCTTTGAAATTTTTTATGCCATTTAATTTATAGTTTAATTTTTATGAGCATATAATTTATGATACATCAATGATTACCATTTCCTAGTTTAATGATATTAATATACAGTCAATTCTTCTTATAATGAATTTTGATATAACGAATTTTACAATATAACAGATTTTTAGTGTAGTACAGATTCTAATATATAAAAAAATCTTATTATACCAAATTATACTAATTAAATGTTATATACCATTTAATAAAGTAAATTTTATAAACCATATATAAAAAATACTCTTTTAATAACAAATTTTCTTTTATAACAAATTTTTTTAATATAACGAAGATATTTTGTATAACTTATATTTTTGCATTATAAAATACAATTATTATATAACAATATACTATAATATACCAAAATTTTCTAAATTATACCAGATTTTTCCAAATATTTTTATAATGAAAGTTTGATTAGCCTAGATGCTCACTTCATTATATTAGAAGTTAATTGTATTTTTTGCAATAAATATAATAAATATGTAATTTTCTTTTTAAAAATACAGAAGGACTCCAAAAAATGCTTATATATATAAAATACTAGGGTGCTTAGCCAGTATAAAAAAATTTTATAATGTAAAAATTTTATAATGCTTAATTTTAAGAAAATTTTATATTATATAGGGTTTAAAATTTGTGCGCACCTGCGCATGTGCGCACCCCCATGGATATATTATATATAAAAGTCAAAATGACATTCTAAACCCTTCATGGCTCATTAAGTAAAGTTGTAGAATGGGCAAAAATACGCATAGAAATAAAATTTTAAGGCTCTATAATATGTACGTAAGAGTTGCAGTATGAATATTTAAAAAAATCAGGATTTTACTAAAGTCACGTGATAATTGATGATTGACAAATTTACTATCTAGGGGTTAGATAAATAAACGGGGGGGGCCAACTCATAGGTTACACAGACTGATCAATAATAACCAGAACTGTCGCCATATGTAATTTTATAAGTAACCTTATTAAAATATGATCGTACCCCATGTTTAAGATGAAAAATCAATTGATAATCATTATAATCCATGAAAAAAAAATAATTGATCGGTAATAAAGAAACGCGAAACTATCTGAAAATATAATTTTTTGTCAAAGTTTCGTGTTTATTTACTTTAAAAAACTTGATCGGCGGTTTAATACATCTAAAATACATAGAAAATTTCGCTACAACTTGAAAATGGTAGGCATTAAAGGTTAGAAAAGCACAACTTTTATATTTTTTAAATAATATTAACATTTTTTATTAAAAAGTTTCAAAAAAAACGCGCAATTAATATAAACGAGAATAGTATTGATTTGCCAATACCAAAGCAGCAAAAAAAAGCAGAAGCATTACAAGAACTTGTACGTACTAAGCCTAACCTTAAAGGAAAAATGGTATATTTTTTTCCAACATTAGATAAATATTTTGAAGGTGTGCTTATGTATGAAGTAAAGGATAAGAAAGCATATGTATATAGCGTCAAAGATAATCGCAAATTTGACACATTTTCCAAATGGATAGATTATTTGGGAAACCGAGGATATTTTAAAGGACGTAGGTCTGCTACAGCAACCATTTTTTTGGAAGCAAATCCTACAAGTCCGTCAATTGCATCTATTTTATCTACATCAAATTCATTATATTGGAAAACATCATTGTTAATAAACACCACAGATATTCTTTCATCAATTCAAGAAAAAGTTAAACCGGGAGGAGAGTTTTCTGGAACTGCAATACGAAAAATTAGTGAAGGTCTTGAACTTCATTTTTTCAAAGAAGAAAAATCAGAAAAAAAGCTATTGATTCTAACTAAGAGTGGTTTATATAGATATGAAGTTTATATATTTGATCAAATAGTAAAAGAAAAATATCTTCCTTTTCCAACCAAAGAAATGAAAAGAACTCTTGATGAAATAATTAATTTTATTAGATATGTTTTTTCTGTTAGTATTTGTTATGGACAAAGTACTGCTGGTAATTAATTATTATTTTTTATTTTTTATTTATTTATATACGTAAATTTTATTTGATAATTTTTATTCAAAGGTTTTGAACAAGTAACACATATTCGGGGTACTCAACTAGTTAGCAATAATAAAGATCATACTCCTTTTGCTTTAATGGAACGGATTGGTCAACCTGATGAGGTATATAGAAGAATAGATTGTATACTTGTAATAACAGAAAAAAATATATGCAAAAATTGTGCAAAATTACGAAAAACTTTACAAAGAATTCAACAAAGAATTTTGTCTGGAACAAACTCAATAAAAGTAACACATGCATCAAAAGAAACTCTTATAAAAAAGGTTAGCCAACAGAGAAAGATTATTAAAGAACAAAATAATATAATTATTGATTTAAAAGATCATTTAAAAGAAAAAATTGAAAGGGAAGAAGAAGAAGCATCAGGTGAAATTGCAAATATTGTTCATACTGTTACTAAAGGTATTATTAACAAAGATATAGATATTTCTGCTTTTCATCCTATTTTTCAAGAACTTATTCGTATTCAAACTGAAAAACCAAATGGAACAAGATATCATCCAATGTAAGGTTAATTAAGATGATATTAAATATGAAAAATATCTTATATTTTTAATTTTTTAGGTTTTTACGTTGGGCTATATCTGTATATAGTAGATCAGGTCATGCAGCTTATAATGCAATGAAAACAATTATGCGTTTACCATCAATTTCAACACTTAAAAGTTATATTAACGAAAGTGAACAAAAATCAGGCTGGCAAGATAAAATTGCTAATCAAATATTAGCTAATTTGACAATAAATAAAATTTGGGGATATGGAAGAGTGGGATTTTTTTCTCATGATTCTTTTAAAATTCAAAAAGGTAAAAATTATTATTATTTTTAAATTTTTTCAATAATTTATATTTAATTATTTAATTTGATTGTAAAACATCTAAAAATAGGTCTTCTTTGGAGTCAACGTAAAAATTGTTATGTTGGTTATTTGGATTTTGAAAATGAAATGCAAGAGTATGAGATGTTTGCTATGCAATGTAAACAAGAAATAGAATCAATATCAATAGAAGATAATTCTACATCAAGTAATAAACAAAAATTTGGACTTGCAACCCAAGTTCATCAAATTGTTTGGCATTCAATAACACATAATTTTGCATTTCCCATATCTTATTATGGTATTAATAATATATCAATACATAGTTTAAATACATTACTTTTTAATCTTGCAGCAAAATTAGAGTGTATAGGTATATATACATGTGGATCAATTTGTGATGGAGCAGGAGAAAATAGAATTCATATTAAAAGTTTTGATTGGTATGCATCAAAATGGACTTGTGGTGATATTGTAGAAGTTAATTTTAATAAAGATAAAACATCTTTTTATGCAGCAAAAATTATAAATAGTAATTTTGAAAAAACAAAATTTACTGTATGTCAACTTGATTGTAATAATCCTAAAAATATTGAAATTGAACGAAATTTTATTCGTCCACCAATGCCTTCAAAATTGAAATGGAATGTCAATGAAATATGCGAATTTAGAAATCCAGATGATAATAAATGGTACTTAGGAAAAATTATTGAGTTTGATCCAGTTGAAACAACATTATCTGTAGAAATTATAGAAGGAATATATGCAAAAAAGGGATGGAAAGTTTTTAGTTATCATATTAGTAAGTTTCTTAGACCTGTTTATAATAATCAAGAAATTTTATTAAATTATAAAACAATCAATCCTATTACAGGAGAAGAGTGGTTTTTTATTAGTGATCCAACACATGTTTTTAAAAAACTTAGAAACAACATATCAAAAAGTCATACAGGTGAAAAAAATGCAAGAGAAATAATGTTTAATAAAAAGGAAATTAGTTGGAAACATATAAAAGGTGTATATGAATATACAAATAAACATGCAACTGCTAAAGCTACCAAACTTACAAAATGACATATATGGCTTACTTCATGGAGTAAGATGCGTGTTGATCTTGCTGAGCATACATTATCAAAAGAAGTTGAAGATGCACTAGCAACTATTAAAGAACTTAAAAATATATCAGAAGGAACAAGAGTAAGTAATTATTAATTTATAATAATTAATTTCTTTAAAAAAAACTAATAATAATAATTTATTTTAAGGATTATATCAAATATTCACGAAAGTATCGTGAAATAATGCATAGTAAAATTAATTTTCAATCTTTAGAAGATCCACGTATCAATACTTTAAAACAAATTCGTGATTGGTTTATATGTGGTGATAAACAAAAGACAGAATCTAAAGAGTGGATTTCATCACAATGCCAATTTGATTTGGTTTTATCTATCAATGGTTTTATTGGAATGCTTACATATATTTTAAATAAATATCCAAGTGCAATGATTCAAGCAAAAAGGATTTCACAAGATATGCTTGAGGGACTTTTTGGTACAATCCGAGAACTTGGTGGAGACTCTTCCACCCAAACACTTAAATCTTATGGACATGCCTTAAACAAATATCAAATTACAATGTTAGTTTCGTCAGAAATAAAGAGTGTTAATTATGGCAAAACAGATAGTACTGGAACTGGTATTACTACTTTAGTAAGAAGGTATGCATATGTTATAAATTATATTATTATTACATCTTTATAAATTAAAATATTTTATTTACAATTAGAGATTATCGAAAAGATAAACAAAAAACAACAAATAATGAAGAAAATAATTACATTTATCAAAAACATTTGGTTCGTTTGGCACAAATATCATCTCTTTCTCACAATGTGTTTAAAAATCTTCTTACAGATGATTTAATTATGGGGAAAATCAAGTTTCCATTAGGACCATACCATAAAAATGTTGATCAGGAAAATATTAGAATTTTTCGCCTACAGAGTGAACGCCACCAACTTATAGAAACCATCCTTTATCAGGATTCTATTGATAAATTACTACAAAAGTGGCAAGATATTATTAAAAATATCGCTTGTAAAGCAATTCTTAAAAAAACAGGAATTCAATGGTTAGCTACTTGGAGCTCTTACCTTGAAAATTGTCTAAATAATTTTAAATGCTCAGGAGTCTGGTATCAAGATTTTCTTATTGCGTCCAATTTAAATGATTCTTCAACTAAAAGGCTCGTTGTATACTTGCTTTTACAAGAGGTTATTAAAATTACCTTTAGTGAAAAAACAGTATCAAATATCTCACAAACTCATTTAGCAGCAGACAATAATTTAAAACCAGAAAAAATTATTGTCTTGGAATCATCTGAGGCGTCAAAATTTTCCTACATCATTGGGTGGATTGTTTATAAGTTAACAAAGAATGACAATATAACAAAATCGCGTCCTGAATTTGAAGCAATTAAAACTCACCTTATGACTCTAAATTCAGAACAAGTTGTTTATGAACAGGATGTTCGATCTCAAACAACAAATGTGATTCCCGGTCTGAAGTTTTTAGAATTTATGTATAAAATAGAATCATTAGTGTTATTATTATTTGAAAAGCATACGGAATTTGGACCCAATATTCTTCAATATATACACAATAGCTTATTATGTAACTTACCATTGTTAGAAAATTTTAACACACTCATCAATATCTCTACTCAGATGCTTTCCACGTGTGACTCTATAAATATAACAAAATACGAGTTAAAAGATGATGCTAGAGATTTTCTTTATGAAAGAATTATTATTATTTATATGAAGAGTAGACAAAAATCCTGGCGAAAATTCAATGATCTCATCCCCGAAAAAGGAACCTCAAGCCTTAGGGAAAATCTTAAAGCTATGCGTAATGATACTGAAAATAACATACCTACTTTAATAAAAAAGTCCAACTTACCAAAAGATCCTATGCTTGGTTTGGTGCAACTTCAAATCTGGGCACAGTTGGATGGTGCTGAAGGATTATTCTCAAAATTGTTTCTAGTGAGTGAGTTACAATGGTTACTTTGGGCATTTGGAGATAATATAAATAACAAAAGAAAAAAGAGTTTAATACCTTTAATTTTAGAACACCTGAAAAAGGGTACTTCTTTTTCCAAAGAAGCTATATCAAAGGGTCAAATATTTACAGTTTGAATTATAGAATAGTTGTTAATGAAGTCTATTATCCAAATATTTGGTATATAAATAAAAAATAACATTAAAACGGTGCTTAAAGTAAATTGCTACAGTAAATTAGCTTATTCCAAGGAAAAAAATAACAATTTACAAAAGCTATAGTGACTCAATTGAAATAAAACCACTTTTCCTATATAGACCTAACTTGAGTAATCTTAGTTTTTAAGATCGGCTGCTTTTCTATGAATGCGCGTCGAAAAAAATTAAAAAAAAGTAAAAATTTGCGCAATTTTATAGTAGATTTCGATTGTGTAACCAATTTATGGTGGCGACAGTTCTGGTTATTATTGATCAGTCTGTGTAACCTATGAGTTGGCCCCCCCGTTTATTTATCTAACCCCTAGTTACTATATAAAAATTACCAAAAATGGAGGGGTGCGCACATGCGCGGGTGCGCACAAATTTTATTTCCTATTATATATATAAGATAATTAAATTGCATATTTTTGGTATTATTTAAAATACTAAGAGTTTTTAGTTACTTAATTTTTATATTTATAAAATTCTTTAAAATATTATATATTGAATTTATAATTAATTTTTATTTTATTTTTATTACCAATGATTTTACTTTCAGTTGATTTTATACTACATTTTACAATTTTATATATATAAATATATAAACAAAAATTTTTTTTAAAAAATTTCAGTTTTTTTTATTAATTATATTTTAATAATATCTTTTATTAATTTTATTAAACTCAGTGTACCATTTTTAATATAAAATTATTATATTATATATGTTTATTTTGTTAAATAAAATTACTGTAAATATATTTTACTTTAAAATATAATTTTACTACTCATCACTTTAGTTATATGAAATTACTTTTTATGCTTGAGTAAAATTATTTAGCAAATTAAATCTATTTGTATTTTAATTTTCATGAAGCTAAATATGATATTTATATAAAAAAACATATTTTTATAATGGTAATAATTTTTAAATTTTTTACTTTTTCTTTTACAACTTTGAAATATAATTACATTACTTTGATCAAATAAAATCGACTTTTAAAATTAATTAAAAGTTATTCAGCAAAGTCAAACTACTTATAATTTTATGAGTGTAAGTATAATACTTATGGAGAAAAGTGCATTTATCATAATAGTACTAACTTTCAAATTTTTTATTTCTCTGTTTATAACTTCAAAGTATAATTACACCCTTTAGTCAAATGAAATTGACTTTCTAAATTAATTGAAAATTGTTCAGCAAAATTAAAACTACCTGCATATTAATTTTTATAAATGTACTAAGTATAATACTTGTAGAGAAATTTACATTTTTTAATTTTTAATTTTTCTTTTACTATTTATTAACTTTATTAATTGAATACAGTAATACCAGAATCCTGAATAATTATAGTTAAGGTTATATTCAACTATATTTTAAACTTTATACATTATTTATCTTTTAATTTTATTAAATTAATATTATAAGATAATATAGAAAAAATGGTTTTTTTAAAAAAAAGAATCTTTTGATATTAAAATTATACAAATTTACTGATTAAAATTAGAGATAAAGTTGTATAATAAGGCAAAATTTAGCAAAAAAAATATACACTTTTTTACTATCAGTATACAGTTAAAGTTCTTTATAATGAATCTCGATTTCTGGAGATTATAATTTGTTATGATAAAAATTTTGGTAATAATTGTTACTAAATTTTAAACATTTATTCGCTATGATAAGCAATACTGAAAATCATATTCAAATTTGCTATATTAAATATATTCAGAAAGTTAATTAGTAATCAATTTTTTAAATGGTAAATTTGGCATGAACTTTATTACTTCATTATAATAAACTATTATACTATTTTTTATTTATACTAAAACACATATCCAAAGTAACTTGCTGTTTAGAATGGAATTCTTTCTGCTCTATTACTTTACACAATTTTTTTATGGTTTGAATATGATTATTTGAAAATTCCATTTTATCAGATTTTTGTTCTATATATGTGATTATTTGATTGAGTACTACTAGCGCCTTATAGTTACTGATAATTGGAATTTCTGGCCCCTTAACATTTGATTTTTCTGGCTCTTTTATTATTTCTATAATTTCTTTATCAGTCATCATCTGGTGATTTGTTTCATCCTTTTTATACTCTAAATATTCTTCAGCAGAAATTGGACTTCTATATATTTTAGAAGCCAGATGACCAATAAGATCTTGTAATTGGTCAACTTTTTCAAATTCATCAAAGTCAAAATTAATGTCATCATCAGTACTTAGTGAAAGGATGCCAGTTTTTCTCCAACCATTTGTAATAGTTACTGGTTAAACTAATTCCCATGTTTTTGCTACATATTTAATTGCTTTTTTTATTATAATTTTAGGTATGGATTGTCCAGTTTTTTGACTATTATTAAATAATGCTTTAATACGATTTTGCAAAAATAGTTTTTGATATTATGCCTACATTTATTATTTTATTAATAAATTAGTTTTTTTTTTGTTAATTATAAAACATTTTTGTACTTACTTTAAAACTATGAATGATTCTAGCATCATATAGCTGGAGGCATGAAGTTGTATTAAGAGGTAATTTATAAAGACTATGAAGACGAATATTAGAAAATTCAACATCATTAATTAATTTATAAATGGATATGCCATTATAAAGTAAGATTATATGTCTATTTTCAAGTCTTAGGCATAAATCAAAGAGTTTTAACCAATCGTTCTAAATATTAACTTACATATAAGCTGTTTTATTCTAATAATAATGTATTGGTAATAATGACTTTGAACCATTTTTTAAGATACGTAGATTTTGGCTTTTTCCAATAAAAACTGTTTTTACTTTTTCAGTTCCTGATGCATTACAACATAATGCAATAGTAACTCATTCGTTAGATTGTTTTTTACCTACAACTATTGTAAAATAAGTATTATTTTAGTTTATATATGATTTTTTATATTAATTTTATACTAATTAATACTGGACCAGTTGATAAAGTTCAATTTAACTCCATTTTCCAATAAAGTCCAGTTTCATCAATATTGAAAATATCATCAGATGAATATTCTTTAAGAATATTTTGAAAATCTTTACACATCTCATTCAAATTTTTTTCTGAAGGAACGCTTGCTGCTTCTTCATATTTTATATAAGATTCAAGATTGTGGTATTTTTTAAAACCTGTTATTCATCTATTAGATCCTTTAAAGTCTTGTATATCAAGTAATATTGTAAAATCACATGCTTTTTGTGCCATAATTCACCACTAATAGTAATATTATTATCAATAGTTTTTTCAACCCAAAAGCCCAAAGCTTCATTAACTTGTGGAAAATTTGGTTTGACCTTATTTTTTAAATAAAGCTTCATAAAAATCCAATTTTAAAGCCAACTATTTTTCACTTTCTTTTAAAATATCAGATATTATTCCTTGTGAAATATCATATTTTTTAGCAAGTTTTTTATTTTTAAATGTTGGTTTTTACAACTTTTTTAGACAAACTTCTTGTTTTTGAGTACCTGTAAAAGAGGCTCTGGTTCATTTTATATAAGAAGCTTTCTCTTTACCTTTAGAAGTTTTTTGTCTTTTTTTTTAAAGCATCTGAAATAAAATAATTAATTATTAAAAAAAATTTCACACAATTGTTTAATTTATAATGTGAAATTTTCTATTAATGGAAATTTCATTATATCTCTTACATTTTAACATGAAATTCATTAAAAAAAAATTCGTTACAGTCATTATAAAAATTTGTTATAAAATAAATTCGTTAATTAAAGATTTATTTTATTAATAATTATACAGATCTTTATTTTCACTATATGCAATGGTAGGATTTACTATAAAAATTCATTATTTTTAATTATTTTATTTAATAAAAAATTGGTACTACTTATATAATTCGCAATAGTGTAAAATTCAGAATACAGAAATTTGTTATAGAGAACTTTGACTGTATATAGAAATATTCAAAAAATAAAAAACTATATTATTAAATATTACTTTTTAAATTACAAAATTATAAATAGTAGGAAGGCAACTATTTTATTAAATTTACATTTATATCTATTAAAATAAATTCAAGATGGCAATAAGGGCACTGTCAGATATTACTTAATATCACTTTAATATAAGAGTTTACTCCCCTTCCTAGATAAGATATGTTATATATATAATTCCTTATATAGTATTATATGTAATCTAAGAGAAAAATAAACAATTAAAAATTTTACAAAACTTTTAATTCAATCAAAGTTTTCTTTTTATTTAATTTAAATTTAAAGTACTTTTAATAAATAGAAACTAACATATTTTATAAACTATCTAATTCTTAACATAAATTTGTTTAATTTAAATAAATTTATTTATTTTTAAAAAAATTAATAGTGATTAAACTAGGGATTGAAATCAATTAATCGAAAATCGACAAAACATAGTAAAATCAATTCTTGAGAATTGATTCTCAGCAATTTTTTACATGTAAGTTAATCTGACTTCAAAGTAATTTTTCATGCTGGCCAAGTGCTGATTATTTTTGCTGAAATTAGAAACTGATTCAAAGTCAGGTTGGTCGTCTATAAGAAAAATCTTGAAAAGATTTGATTTTGATTCCAATCCCTAGACTAAACAGCCATTATTAATTGGTTAATAGTTACATGAATGTATTTAAAAAGAGTATTCCAATATACTCAGAATTCAGAATTGCTTGTACATATAGAACATAAAAGGAATGCATTTAG